CTTCGATTTGCTTGTCGAGCAATTCCAGGTTTTACAGTGCGGGCGCACGCCGGGACGGCAGTTGATAAACAGGGCTGAACTCACTGCGATCGCTATTGCAGTTGCTTCAGCCAAAAATGTCCGCATCGTGAGTGATAGCCAAGTTGCACTGGGGCATTTGCATCATTTCTGCCAGGTCGGCCGCTTAACCGATTTTGCAACGCATAAAGATTTCGATCTCTTGGCAATGTTACGTGCGAACATTCATGCATGGTCTGGAGATGACAGAAGGTTAAAAGCCATTTTATCCCGGCCGGGACAGATGAGAACAGACACCACGCCGCTGGGAACCACGCTGCTGATGCTGCCTGCCCTCGCGAGTCCTGTCCCCGGCATGCAGCAAGTAAGTGACGAACACATCAGACAACAACGGTTATCTGGGCTTGCCCTGTTCCCTTTTAACCCTTTAAAGTGCGAACGTGTGTGAGCCACAACACGCAAGGGGGGGATGGAATGATCTGAGTTTTCACCTAGCCTTTTGGCTCTTAGGGTGAAACACGACAACACATCGTGGCATTTTGCAGAATTTGGGGTATGAGAGTTTTGCGCAATGGATGCAATTGAATCGCATTTGCTACATTGCCGGCGCAAGGTTTGGGGCAGTGTTTAGGAACAATGCAGTATTCCTGGAGACCCTGTATCTGTACCTTGCCAGGTCATACCGTCTGGTGTTCTGCAGATAGACAGGCCACTTCTTGAGCCTGAGCGTGCTGAGGACGATCGTGTTGAGGTATTTAAAGTCAGGCTATTTAGACAGATTGTGGAAGCAACATTGCAGTTCACTACGTGCAGCAGCAATCCGGAAGTGGCATGGAATTATTTGCACCTGTTTGATGGCATTTCAGCTTGGACGTCAGTGGAACAAACAGGAACCGCTTGGTGCTGCAATTTGCACAGATTTTCGTCATGTGTTTGCAGGAAAGTCGACAGGCGCTCTTCACAACCGATCTCAAAGCTCTTGGAGGGCGACCAAATCTCAACTGCGGACTGCAGCAAACTTCTGGGTCGTTTGCAGCATGCTGAGGGGCAGGTCATGGGTCGTGTTGGGAAGCTGGCCATGGCCGAGTTGCGCGAAACATTCAAGGGGTGCCAACGTTCAATCGCTCTCAGCAAATCTGCAAAGGAGTCATTCAGAGGCCTCTTGAGTCGACCAGGTTCGCCTTTTGCCGATGGTGCAAGCGATGAGGGCGTTCATGCCGCGGGAGGCTGTGGGAGGTTTCCAGTGCATGTGCCACGGAAACTAACGGACCATTGGCTGGAGACAATGAAGCACATCACGGGGCCAGTTGAGTTGTACGCCGTTGTTGCAGCGCGCTACATTTGGAGACATAGACTTGTCAAGGCCAAAGTTATCTGGTACATTGACAGCTTTGTTGCAATGGGCGCTTGCATAAAAGGTGTGTCTTCGAACAAAAAGATGAGGCGGCTGCTTGGCATGGGAAGAAGCAGAAGCCTTAGGCCATGTGTGGTCTTGGTACACCTGTGTTCCTTCTAGATCTAATCCAGCAGATGAGCCGTCTCGAGGATGTCTCAATGGCTTAATTGCGAAGCTGGGTGCAGAACGTGACACGGGTTCTTGCCCGCTTGGTGGTACTCCTTTGCAACCACTTGACACTTTGGTGAGTGATGAAAGTGGGGTGGGGGTGGCAAAGCGTCAAGTGCCTGAGGCGCCTGATGATGGTCGCTCCCCATGATGGAAAAGTGCTTGGCATTTTTAAGGGAATGAATCCACCTTGCAAAGTGATTTGAGCCTTGTCTGTTTGAGTGGGTGCGCTTTGCAATGTTTGGTTTCTCAACTCGGCCCTGTCGTTGGGAAACCCTCTCCCCCCTGTTTGCGTGTTGTGTTTAAAGGGTCCAAAGGTTATTTGGGCTTGCCCTGTTCCCTTTTAACCGTTTAAAGTGCAAACATGTGTGAGCCACAACACGCAAGGGGGGGATGGAATGATCTGAGTTTTCACCTAGCCTTTTGGCTCTTAGGGTGGGAGCGGTGGGAAACACGATAATACATCGTGGCATTTTGCACCCGCCCTCCCGCCCCCTGGCAAAGCGTCAAGCGCCTGAGGCACCTGATGATGGTCACTCCCACTCCCCATGATGGAAAAGTGCTTGGCATTTTTAAGGGAATGAATCCACCTTGCAAAGTGACTTGAGCCTTGTCTGTTTGAGTGGGTGCGCTTTGCAATGTTTGGTTTCTCAACTTGGCCCTGTCGTTGGGAAACCCTCTCCCCCCTGTTTGCGTGTTGTGTTTAAAGGGTTCAAAGTCGTTGTAAGCTTCGTTTACCTGCGCTCTATAAGATAATTGCCACTGCCCTGAGAACATATATGCATGCAATCAATCACCCTGCAGACACCACCGATTCTGCGGTGCCTGTGAATGATACCCCTGGCCCAATCCGGTATGTAGGCAATCCATACTGCGACTTCTCAGACCTTGTGGATTGGACAGATCGTGCAATCTGGGGGATTACACGCAGTCACTGCTCCGGTGGGCAGCCGTTCTACAATGGCCGGAAGAGGACGAAAATAGGCAACGCACCACGTGGGCTGAATTGGCCATGTTGCCCTATACCGAACCAGCGTCCCCACATCCACGGTACCTATGTCACGCCGGGAATCCATCGGTCCATGATTCACACTTAGAAGACTTTGGGAGCGCAAGCGTTCAGCCCGCGAAGTGCCTTGCAATCGACCAGTACCAGTACAGGGCAAAAGCTCATTCCTTGGAACCTTTCAACCGCTGACGCTGATACGAGCAGGACATTCGGCTTCAAGGTCAAAGCTGCGGGTTTGAAAACCCGGCCACTCATTCCATTTGCACCAGAGGTTGAACAACACATGCGCGATTTCTTTGCAAAGCAGACAGGTAAGTATGCCTCGCAGATCAAGATCCTGACTCCTAACCATTTGACTGCGCTTGTGGTTGATCCACGGGGTCGTGATCTTGACTTTAAAGCTGCCAGACAAAGATGGATTGAATGGTACAGGACACATCGGCGTGTCCGCACTTGATTTCCACATTTCCGACGATTCTTTTCGTTTCACGTCTCACCTTTTTGCCACTCGTTGCCTGGGGCTTCGATTCTTTTGGCGCACAATTGCATTTAGCCAATTTCACATCTTCATAGTGTTAGGCACGTTCGCTATGCTGGCGTGTCTGGCATGAAACTCTCATAGGTTTGAGTTTCGATCCGTTCGCGTGTGGGGAAAAGCTTGATCTTCCCCATTCGTCCTTTTGCGTTACTTCCCAAATTCGAAGACGGGAAGCCGGGCAGCGAGTCTGGGAGAGATGCCAAGCAGTATGATATCGCGCCCGGAGTTACATACGAGCAGCCTCGTGTCGCTCCCACAGTTTCTGGGATGGAACCGCTGCGGGCTTTCCGTCATATCGAATCTACTGGAAAGGCCGACCGCGTGCAGCTGAAGTATATGGTAGGCCTGGAGGTGCGTGGCGCCGACGCCTTCGAGCCCGTCGCGAACCTGCCCCGCTGCTATTTGAGAAGGGGCCCGGTCTTCCTGCGCTCCCTGCTGCGCTTGGTGGGGCACAAGGTGGACAGGCGCTTCTACTTCAGGCGCCACGCTCCTCAGGGGCAGTGGCCGCTGCTGCCGCGCGAAGGAGCCCCACTTTCCCCGGGCCCTCGCAGAGGCGGCGTCTGCGTGGGCCACCGTGCGGCACCAGGACGCGCTCTATCTGCGCTCTGCCCTGCCAGGCGCCCCGGCAGACCTGCGTTTACGCCGACCCTCCCTACGACCGCACCATGAATTTCCACGGCGCGAAGGGACGGGGGCACGACCTGGCCTTCCACTCGGAGCTCCGAGACTTCGCAAACTGCCTGCCCTTCGTCGTGAGCGTCAACAACGTGCCGGAGGCCCGAGAGCTCTACTGCAGGGCCGACTCCATCACGAGCTTGAGCAGTTCCAAGCCCGAGCTGCATCGGGGCAATCCTGTTGCCAGCGCAGGATTGACGGGGGCAATTCTGTTGCCAGCGCAGGATTGACGAAGGGGATTGGCCCGGTGATGGCCCGGTGACGGCCCGGTGAGGGTTTTTCGGGCAAAATTGGAAGCTTGGAGCGAAGTCGGAATTCCGACCTCGGTGGGAGAGCAAAGTCGGATTTCCGACCTCGGTGGGAAAATTCCAACCTCGGTGGTAGTTTGCCTCAGGGGTAAGATCGACAAGCCGTGGGTGACCTCTGGCCAGCTTGGAAGATTACGATAGCTTTTGTCACGGGGTGACACGGACCGTGGGCGACCTCTGCCGCAGTCGGGGTTGCTGGCCACTTCGGAAAACCTCGTACCTTGCCTCGAACCCCGGCGATGACAAAACGATGACATCGATGCACACCGAAAAACCGTGCGAAACCCTGCAAAACCGGCTGTCACAGAAACGATGACATCTGTCACAGAAACGATGGCATCTGTCACAGAAACGATGACATCTGTCACTGAAACGATGAGCACCCTAAAGCTCAGTCGGCGACCCCGCTCTCTGCAGCAAGTGGCAAAAACACAGCTGACCGTAAGCGGAGGTGCGCGAATGTTTCTGTGTGGGCGTCACGCGATGGAATCCAAGCGGGAGGCGCGCGCGGTACTCCGACGTGCGCCAAAACAGTTGGGACGTGCGTTGGGGTGTGCGTGGAGATGTGTCGAAAGCTGGATGCTGGTCCAGAAAACCATAAGGGTTCACTTCCAAAGCTGTTTTTGCGGGTTGCTGGTCAGGGTGTTGTTTTGGTCAGGGTGCTTGTTTGCTTAAAGTGTGGTGCTGGTCTGCTTGTTCTGCTGGTCAGCGTGTTGTGGTCATCATGCTATTTTGGGTCTATGTTGTGGCATTTTTTTTGGCAGTGGCATGGGAATCGCCGATCGCACAAATTTGGAAGCCTTGTTGTGGATAGTGTTCGTACAGGAGCGAAACGAAGGTCGGTTGAATTTGTGGAACGTATGTCTATCATGCTGGTGGGTTGTGCTTAGCGCCGTCTGTTTTCAAGCTGGGCGTTTCCTCTCGGCCAACGCTGACATCGATGATCGACCAGCTGGTGCTTGTCCTGACGGCGCTGGGCGCATTGGGTCAGGGCGTGCCACTATTGTGGCGCCAAGATACCATGCGCCTGGGCATGAAGGGGAAGGTTCCTCCATATTTCCCCTTCTGGTTTTAGACCAACTTCTGAACAAGTTTCTGTTTCGGCGGGGCATTTTTTTGGATGTGTTGCTCGTTCGCGCTTTCTCCCCGAAGCTGATTGTCACATGACCAGTCATGAGCAGTGAGCATTTGGCCATGGCTTGTCCATGGGGTGACCCGAAAGGCCCCGTTTTAGTTCGCCTCACGGAGGCGCCCATCCAAGAAGCATTGGGAAGTTTTGTGGCTTCGGGTAATTATTTTGGGTGGTTTCCCTAGCTTACAACATCCATTCCTACCCTCACTCCCAAGAAGGGCTTCCTACAAGAGCAAACTGATCTTCCAGGTACAGGTGCGAGTCTTTTGTGGAAGGGACTGGAACCAATTCCGCCTGATGCATTTTGCCAGAGTCACCCTTGATTAAAAAAAAAAACATGTTTAAACTACTGGGCGCGGCTCGTTTTAGGCTCGGTGCCTTTTTCAGGTTGGCTGAAAGGGAACCCAAAGGAAGACACCGGTCCCGGTTCCCTTTTCACACATGCACGAGTGAAGCAACCTGTTGGTGTCCTGGCCTGTCACTTTCGGCAATCCAAGAAACCTCACTGAGACTCACGAGAATTCGGGTGTTTCCCCATGATTTCCCAAGAGCAACATGGGCAGCAGAAAAAAACATGCCGGGGGACCCCCTAAAATGGTGGTGGTCCCTTGGGTTTCGAATCAACTGAAAGTTCAGTGGAAGCTTCTGCATTCTTTCCAGGGATCCTTGTTTTGAAGAAACCATCAGAAACCCGGCCTAAAAGCAGATCTGGTTTTTAAAAAGAAGGACTGTTGAAAAGCCAGGATACACCATACAAAAACAGAGAAGTTCCCTTGCAAATATATATGTATATATATATATATAAACAACAGCACGCCAGGCGGCACACCCCTGGTTTTGCCGCTTTGGGGTCGAAGGCTGGAGATGGCGGTGAACACGAAGGAGCGGGCGGCCCTGAGCAACTCCGGCTTCGCCCGCTGGTGCCTCATGGCGCACCAAGGCGGAGAGCCCACAGCTCACCTCAAAGCCCCTCGTTCCATCTCAAGCCCCCACTTCTTTTTGGCCTTCCAAGCCAAGGACACCGTTTTTTTTTTTGGGGGTTAAGCCCACCCGAAAGCCGCTGATTCCAACTTTATGTTGAACCAGGATTAATCCACCCGTGCCATTATTAGGGGGGTGTTCCCTCCAAAAGTTGTCTGAATCCCCACTAAAAGGGGACACCCACCTATTAAGCAACCAGGGGTTTATTACTCCGGGGTTAACATTAAGCCCTTCCAAGCCAAGGACAACCACTTTTTTTTTTTTGGGGGGGGGTGGTAAGAAAGGAAGGTTTGGACACATACCCAACCGGTGCTGATTGCTTGTTGGAAAGCAAAGCGGCGGGCGGCAGGTGCAAGTTATGTCTGGGAATCAAGGTGAGTTGTCAGGGTTGGTCGAAGGATAGGGCTCAGCTCTGACCAAAGCGTACGACACTTTTCTTTCGCACGAAAGCTGTCCCCAGTTCCATAAGTTCCATACACTGGGCGTGTCCTTCTTTGAGAGTAAACCCAAATTCTTCATCACCCACCCTACCGTACTGACATGGAACCCACCAGAGAACTGGCCTCTGGAGGAAGATGATCTTCCACCCCCCCCCCCCCCAACCCCTCCCCCAGACAGGTCGGGGGGGGACTGTGGTAACCTGGAGCCGGGTTTGGACTTCTGGAGAGTTGTAGGACGGGAGTGTTTTTCTGTGTTCCTTGATGGACTGAGTCTGTCCGAATGATGAATCATGGTTGGCTTTATGAAACGCGGCGTTGACCCGACGTTGGCCGGTTTCATCGATGTGCCTGTTCTTTTGACTCGAAGCCAGGCTGTTTGCATCTCACCCTGGCTGCCGTCTGTATCATCGCTGCTGCTCTTTACGTTGCTGGGCTGGTTATTACACTGGTTATTGAATGGCAGACCCGGGCTTTGGGGACGTGCGTCCTAAGAACCCACAACCATCTGAGCTCCAGATTTGAACTGGAGGCTACCTTGAAACTGATGCCATCCAATCTGAAAGGGCTGACCGAAGGTAGCCGGGCCCTTTGTCTTGTTCGCCGAGATTTGGGCTATGAGTCGTGAGAAAGAATTCACCTCCCAAAACCCCCAGAGTGGTGTGCGCTATTACTATTAAACCATTAGGCTTCTCTTGAAACCACCCCAAGTTCACCTCGGGCAGGAAATCTCTTTCGCGGATTTTATCAAAGTGAATGTAACTTTCCCCATGGTCCAGATCCAGAGTCCTCTTTCCAGGAGAGGGGGTTTCTGAAAGCAATTGGACCCCTGAAGAATCGCCATGAGTCCTTTTGGTTTGCCTCGAAGCGCCAAAGGGGTTCACCTGTTTGGGAAATACCCATTGCCATATGGCAGACTCCGAGGTTTCGCATGTTTTGCCAGGATCGAGTTGCCCCTGAGCGGATGCGAATAATCGTGCTTTCCACCGTTCCACGCAACAAACCAATCGGCATTCGATTTTATCACGACCTCTTTAAGATTCCTAGCGCTTCTCTCCGGGTTTAACGCATAAGTCTAGGGGTAACTTCCCCATTCTTTCCAGCGATCGTTCTTTCTAGAAAACCACCAAACACCCTGGGGGAAATGGCTGGTTTTTGAAAGAACGATGGCTGACAAGAGCGGGGAATCAACCCCTAGAATAAGGGAATGTTTTTTTTGGGGACTCAGGCGGTGCGGGAGCGGTTCTCTCTGCATATCCTGCTCTTCGTCTACAACAGCCCGCGGCTGAGAGCGGTGCAATCGGGGCATGGTGTGATCCCAAAGGCCCCCCTATCCGGTGATGGAAGCTTTTGGCTCGCGGAGGGAGCAATCCAGCTCAATGGTTGCTTTTGATGGTCAACTGGCTGTACAAAAAAGGAACCCTGGCAAGTGGAAACATGGACCACAACCCGCGGTTTGCCCCTCCTGTTTAATTTTGAGCCACCCCCAACTTGAGTTTCAGCCAGTTTGGAGTTCCCAGTGGCCACCATCCCTGCCAAAAAAACATGTGAGACAATGGGTTTGCGTTGAGGTGGGATGGGACCGCCCATAAGTAAGGGGGGCACCTCCCCAAGTCTTTTGCGGCAACTGGAGGCTCGTCCATCATCTACCACTACCGCATGTGGCGCCAGTCTAGAGGCGCGGTGCCAAATATTTGAGGGTATCCCTTTTACTACTGCTTGCCTTGGTTTAAAGGGAAAGCAAAACGCACACCCGAATGGAAAAGTGAGGTGGCGTTTAGTGCGCCTGGCGCTCGCAAAGAACAAGCCAGGTGTGCCCACGTGGTTCGCCGAGGAAAGCTTCTTCTGGAACAACTGCTATGCCATTTGCTTCAGTTCCCTGGTGTGCCTTGGATGGGATGTTAAGATCGGACAAAAACATGTTGCGGTCAAGGGAATGACATAGGGCACACTCATCATTTTTTCTAGAAAATGGAGTCTGCTCAACATCTGATGTTATTGGGGGAATGGTTGCTGACGCCTGCATTTTGCCCAGGAATGCCATCGGCGTGCTGGCCGCATATCGCCAACTTTGAGGTCTGCCCATTGCTTTTTCCTCTCGCAAGCAGATGATCAACCTTGCGGCGTGACGAAAAAGGCGAACAGAGAGCCCGGGAGCTGCGTGGGTTCGGAAAGCAAGGCATGGGAGGTGGCCTTAAACCGCCCGTTTTTCCACCGCCCGCGAGAGGCGAACAGATGTGGCGACTTGGGTCACTTGGGTCAATCCGGGGTCTTGGAAACGGGATGCATGCGGGAATACATATATACGTATTTACATATGTGGTAAAATATTCTACATAATGTAAATATTATCATATATATATATATACATATAAGCAAGAAATACATGAATCAATAAATCAATCATAGACACGATGATGAATAAATCAACAAGCTGTATAAAGCTATAAATAATCATCTATCTATCTATCTATCTATCTAATCTATCTATCTATCTATCTATCTATCTATCTATCTATCTATCTATCTATCTATCTATCTATCTATGGATCGATCGATCTATCTATCTATCGATCTATCTATCCATCCATCCATCCATCCATCCATCCATCCATCCATCCATCCATCCATCCATCCATCCATCCATCCATCCATCCATCCATCGATGTATCTATCTATCTATCTATCTTATCTTATCTTATCTTATCTTATCTTATCTTATCTTATCCAACCTAATCTAATCTTATCTAATCCAATCTTATCTTTTTCTTATCTTATCTTATCCTATCCTATCCCATCCTATCCTATCCTAATCTAATCTAATCTAAATCTAATCTAATCTAAATCAAATCTAATCTAATCTAATCTATCTATCTATCTTATCTATCTGGCTAGTTTTCGTGTGCGTGGGCCTGGTGCGAGGCCCTGGTGTAGAGGTGGAAAATCTATCTACTTTTCCACCGCGCATCATGGGGGAGGGGGGCGCCGGGCGGGCCGGCGGGCGTGAGTGTGTGTGTGTGTGTGTGTGTGTCCGCGTGTATTCTTGAGGGTACCCTTTTCGGACTTGGTTTAAAGGGACACCAGCTGGAAAGCCACAACTTTGAGGGCCCCTCTATTTGACCACATGTGACATACGCCACATCAATCCAAGTTGGATCGCCTTCTGGGAGTTCACCAGATCTCCTTGGGCTCGAGGCGGTCGGTTCGAAGATTTCCATGACTGGACATCTAAAATCGGCAAAGAGCGCGATTTTGGCAACGTGCACAGATTTTCCAGCTTGTTTCAGTCAGAAAGTTCATGGTGAGAAAAAGGTGCTTTCTCGGATCGTTCTTGAGAACAACGCACAATTAGGTCGCTTCCGAAATCCCCCCTGCCCGAATTTTCTTTGCGAGATTTCCACAGATGGAGGCGCGGCATGAGTGGTCAGCATTCGCATGGACGCCTGTACTTTGGGATGAAGTAGTTCATGACCATGCTTGCAACTTGGGTGCTGTCTTTGACCTAGAACTTTTTGCGCGGGGTGTTTTTCTTACCAACCCGCAAAAAGTGACAACAACAACAAATGTGGGGCCACTAGAATAAAGAATATGGGGCCCGTTTTCTTTGAAATGGCATATGTTTTGTCCACCCAGGGGCTAAGGACATGCCAGTCGATTCGGTCTTAAGTTGGTGTGACTCAATCGCGATTCCACGAGAGACATGTTGGGGCTTCAAATGGCTAAACACCATACCTACACAAGTTAGTTCCTTTTTGACGGTTGCCACCTACTTGGATTGATCATCCAAGTGCCCCTGCGCTCTTCTGGAAAGTTTGCATGCGGCTATAATGTTTCAGAGTTGAAACCACTCAAGAGTGGTCTATACATAAATCCCCACCTGAATGATGTCCAGCAAAGGGTCTCCTCCGTGAAACTCATAACCACAGTCTCAAAAGGCACCTGCCACCAGGAAAAACCTGAATGATTTTGTTCTGACCAAGGCTTGACTAACTTCTCTGCTTTCTAGTCTAGGTGTTCTGACGGGGTGAGACGGGCTTCAGCTCTCGTAGACTATACCAGCACTTTTGCCATGTCATACCGTCAACTTCGGATTCATTCCAGACTGTCCGAAGGGATGGTGCCGGGAAGTGAACCAGGAACCCATCCATGACCCCCCCCGTGATGAGTGTGACAATTCCATGAGCCTACAACACACTTGGTTTTTCATGATGAGCACATTTCGTGTGTTTGTTAGGCGGAGGCCTGAGGGGTGTCGAACAAGTTGAGCCACAACTCACTCGGCAAATGGAGCTCACAAATTGTGGGAAATGGATCGATCTTTTGATCGGATTCGGCTGCCACTTCTGTGATAAAGAGATCCCCTGAGTCCTTGACATCGCAGATTCGGGCGAATTTGTGGTTTGGTGGTTTGGATTTGGATTTTAACCCTTTGAAGGGTGAAGAGTCTGCCCCCAGCACACCTCCAAGCCGCCAATCGAAATTACCAATTGGGCGGTCACCACGCGGAGGGTTTCTCCCCATCGTTATAGTTTGTATTTTTCCTCCAACTGCCGGATCTTTGGTTCAGTACCCTCCAGGCTCAACCTGGTCTTCGCGGGTCATGTAAATGGCTCGCCAGGCGATGGCCGTGGATGCCCCGAGTCTCTGCCTCAGACCCGTGAAAAGGGGGCCGGAAGGTAAGCGATCCACACCGAAACCAAGCCTCACAGGGGCCCACTCTTTTTTTTTGGGGGGGGGGGGCGATTTGGGGTGGGGATTTTTCTCATGTTTTGCGGGTACCCTGATTTTGACATACCCATTTTGAAATTGGATCCCAAACTCCGCCTCCCTTGACTCCTGTCATTGCCTTTCCGTATGCACCTGGGATTTGTAAGAAGATTCGTCTTCTTTGGGGCTGAAGAGTATGCCGGTTGGTTTTGCGCGCATTGCGAATGGCCCTTTCCGTTGTTTTGTTGTGTTCCAGGCAGCAAAAGGATTTGGTCCAGGTCTTCTTTTGATGCCAGTTTTGGAGTGACTCCCGGCAACAAGTGTTGTATGGTGGTTTGCAACATGTATGATAGAAAAATTATTGTCTCTAGGATATACCACTTCTGGAGATCCTTGAAAGATAGGTACAAAATAATTTCCAAATCCTCCAAACAAGCCAGGCATTACTAAAAAGAAGATCATAAGAAAGCCATGCAATGTAATGCTTATATTATAGAAGTTCTGGTTTTCTGGAGATATAATCCTATTTCCTGATGAATATAATTCTATTCTTTTAAGGACTGATATTAATGTACCGGAGATTCCAAAGCTATTTCCGTCAAACAGAAATGGGCAGAAGCAAAGGGCCAAGGGGTGGGTCCACCTAGGAATTCACATCCAACCATTTTGATAGCAATCATAGCCACTAGAATTCAGCAACTGGTGTTTCTGGTTGGCGGTCCACATGCCCGCTCTTGAGATTCACATGTATGGAAACTGGCAATTCCAGCAACACGCAACCAAACCAAACCACATCGAATCCAAACCAATCGAGACCAAACCGCCAATTTGTGGGGGAAAGTAACATTCCCACGAGAGAGCCTGAAGTGATAGCTCCAATGGCTGTGTTCATTGGGTGGATGGGCGACCAAACTTCCAATCCTACACGACTAGCAAACCAATATTCGGACTTCCAGCAAGATTTGGGTTGTCCACAGGGCAATCCTTCAAAGGGGCCTCGGCTTTCCTTGTGGTTTCCCCTTTCAAACAGCCCCAAAAACGGGCAGCAACTTAAAGAACAGACACGGCCCGCAGGATTCTGTGTTGGGTGAGAGCTAGGGTTCCGCAGGTTGGCGTCTTTGGTCCCTCCACTGCGGTGCATGGGAGGTCGCCGAAAGCTTCGTGAGGTCCCAACGCTGCGGAGATCTCGAAGGCCATCGATCAATGCGACGAGGCCCGGGGTCGACGCGACACAAACGGCACATCGACGAGGTTTAGCAGCGAGTGGAGTGAAGGGAGGGGGTAGCATTCAGGTTGAAACTCGAAAAATGGCGGGTTCCGGAGTAATGCGGAGGCCTCACCTGAAGACAGAAGCTAATAGAAGCCAGGAACTTTGATGCAAGGCCGGCCCACGGAATGTTGACCCCTTAGTCAACCCCTGGTTGATTGATCAGGGCGTCCCCTTTGAGTGGGAATCCAGATCACTTTTGCGGGTGACACCCCCCCTGTTAGGATTAATCCGGACCAATTTGAGAAACCAGCCTCCGGCCATGATTATGAGGATAAGGTGGAAGGTAGAATAAGGATGTTGATGATGATAATGATAATAACACTTCTGCCCATGATGGAATGCATGTTGCAATAATTCCCACTGAAATGCTAGCCTGATTCCAATGGGGGTTGTAGCAAGGCCTGCATGCATGTATTTATATATATATACACACATCAACAAACAAAAACACAAAAGTCAAGCTTATAGTCGTCTTGGTAGAACCAAGAGTACAAAATAACCTACCCCACAAAAGCAACAGGGCCTTTTTTGAGGGTAGCCCTTTTAAGGAAACACTAGCATATTTTTTCCGTGAGACAATCTGTGTCAAATAGGTGGATCCCAAATGCGTTCGCTGCTCTGTTCGAACTAGTTCTGATTGTGAGCTGGCCCATAATTTTGGGTTTCTCGGCCGTTAAGGGCACCAAAAGGGGATTGGATAATTTTTTGTTGTTCACAGAACCTCGATTGTGCTTCCCAGTTTTTTCTTGCTTGTTTTCAGCTGGGAATAGGGTTGAAAACGCCCACTGCATGCACATCTAGGAAGGGGCATGGGACTCGCCGTGGGATTTGGAGTTCTAATTTTGGATGGTTCCAATGGCCATCAGGATTTTTTTTCCGCGCATGCTTACCCAAACCTTCCAAAATCCCCTGTTGAACTATATAGGTTGTTTCAAGTGTCCTTTCTTGATGGGTGAAATGGGGCGGAAATCCTCAACCCCTTTGACACTTTACGACAAGTCACGCTGTTTCTTTGGATCGGCCAAGCACCAGAGATGAGAGCCAAAAGTTAGCGCGTAAGCATCACAAGCATCATGAACATCTCTGGCATCACCAGCATCATCATCATCATCATCATCATCATCATCATCATCATCATCATCATCATCATCATCACTAACATTCCCAGCAGTCGTTGCATCACCAGCATCGTTCTGTATCACCTCAAATTTGCTCGAAAGAGCCCAGCTTTACCAGTTTAGGTGTTGTTTGGAGGGCTTGCTCCGCTCAATGGAGGATCTGTTGGAATCGGTGCATGGACAGCTGAGGGTGTGTACTTTATCAGGGGATCGTCAAGAGAGGCCTTTTTCAGTTTTTTCCCTTCAACCGCAAAAAAAGCAGAGGTGCCCTCAAAAAAGACCCATGTTGGGGGTGCCAAGGAGGATGCTATGGATGCCGCAAGGGAGCACGGACACCCTTCTTGGCGTGCCTTTTGCATGGTTTTGTGTTTGTGTATGTACTACTTGCGATATTCAGGCAGCTGCCTCCGACTTTTCCCGCCCAAAGCCCGGTCGCGGGATCGATCAGGGCACCTTGCGCCACATCTTGCAGAAGGTGATCCGAAAGGCCGCGATTTTTCGCGGGCGCCGTGGATCACCGGGACCTAAGTTGGGGAGAAGAATGGCCATGGTTCACAACCAATGGGATCCCATTTTGGTTGGTAGGTGCACCACCCATTTTAGTCGGGATTTTCGTGGGGATTGGGATGTTCACTGGGGGGGGGTTTTGACCCATGGCCAAATGTGCAACCACTTTTGAGGTGGTCCCAGTTAAGATTCATAGCAGCGTGCATACGTGTGTGTGTGTGTGTTTTTTGAGGCTTGGTACCCTTTTCACCTTGATTTAAAGGGAACCGAAACGAAACCCAAAGCCAGCTTGGGACCCCCTGGGAAGCCAAAAATAAAAGCCAGCAGTTTGGGGGTCCCCCTATTTTGGCACATCCCCATTTGGTACGGTTTGTGGGGGTAACGGAATTCCAATTTTTCGCTCTTTTCAACCACAAGCCCCAAACGACCAAGCGAACCGTCAGTGGGTATCATAGTCAGCGCACGCGCTTCTGTTTGGACATGAGTGACGGACGGGCGAGTTGGGCAATGTTAATGTGGAATACATGGGTGTTTTTCTTGGAGGATACCTTTTTTTGTGATGGCTTTTATTGGGAAACCAAAGGAAACGGACCATTTGTTGGGGTCTCCGCTAAGACACCCCGAAACTAAGAAAGAAAGAAAGAAAGAAAGAAAGAAAGAAAGAAAGAAAGAAAGAAAGAAAGAAAGAAAGAAAGAAAGAAACAAAGAAAGAAAGAAAGAAAGAAGGAAAGAAAGAGAGAGAGAGAGCGAGAGAGAGAAAGAAAAAATAGAGAAATAGAGAAATAGAGAGAAAGAGGTAAGGAGAGAAAGAGTGTATGAGAGAAAGCGAGAAAGAGATAAAGCGAGAAAGACAGTGAAGAGAAAATAACAAGAAAAGAGAATAAGAGGAAAAGAGAGAGAGAGAGAGAGAGAGAAAGGAGCAAGAAGAGAGACAACAAATAATAAATACAAATAAAGATAGGAAGCTTGCACGCGTATGATCTCATGATTGTCAAAGCATTGATTAAAGCTACAGGGTATCCGCACAGAAGAAGAAGAAGAAGAAGAAGAGACCAATCCAAACTGCCTCAAAGGATTTGTTCCTGCAACATGAGGATAATTTGCATTTGGCGTTCTTCAAAGGATCGGCTTGTGTCTTCTAACGGATTGTTGGATGTCAACTTCAAATGAGTCTGGATGACCATAGTTGTCATAGAGTCCCTCAGAATAGATTCGAGGGTCCTTCTTTCTTTCTTTCTTTCTTTCTTTCTTTCTTTCTTTCTTTGATTCTTTCTTTCTTTCTTTCTTTCTTTCTTGCGTACGTGCGTGCTTTGCTTTGCTTTGCTTTGCTTTGCGGTGTTTTGCGTCGTTTTGCGTGTTCGTTTGCCTTGCTTTCGTTTGCCTTGCTTTCTTGTGCCTTGCTTTCTTGCTTTCTTTCTTTCTGTCATCTCTGGCCTCGTTTTTTTTTTTGCCAGGCGCCCTCAGCCTCAGGATGCCAAGCCAGTTGGGGCTTTCTCCTTCAGGACTCGGTCCCCTCGAAGGATTGATTTCCCGTGGGCTTCCATCTCAATGCCACAAGGGGAAATGGCATTTGGGCTTCCTTTAGGTTTCCATTCAATTCCAAAGATCCGAAATCCATTCTGAGGAACACTCAAGTTTAGGAACAGATCCCTTTGTAAAGTCTGTTCTGGACATGTATCCTACCACCCTGAAAACTGTTCAGGTTCCGGAATGCCGGCGCAAGATCGCGGAGGCGGGGTCTGGGAGTCTGGGAGTCTTCCCTGAACAACGTCCAAGTTCCCCAAGGGTCAATGTCTATGCAACAAAATCCAGGCGATCGGCTGGGACTTGGTTAGTTTGGAGTCAAACCTGGCTTCATCCATCTTAGGGAGCTTGGGATTTGGCTTTCCTTTTGGGGCCTTTCGCGTCGTCCCTTTTCTACGTCCAGGACGACTCCGCTGAATCAAAAGCGTGTCTCGTTCGTGGTTTCGAAGGACAACCAATTCACCTGGGTTTGTTTTTATTGAGCCCCCCCCCCAACAAAGAAAGGACTTTCCTTTTGGTTTTCTTTAAAAGGTGTTACACGCGCATTACCTTGCCGTGGGTTTGGACATGAGGTCTATGGGAGACTCGAACGCCTCACAGGCTCCAAGGGAACACTTCCCTTGAGAAAGCTCACAGGGTTCCAAGAGCACAGTGGACCTTGGGTCTGGATGGCTTCTGGGAAATTTTGGGCGCCGACAGTGGTCCGATTCCTCCAAGATCGGAGACATTGGCGGAGACTGGTCTCACAGAAACAACTCTGAGTGCGACTCTGGATTGATCAACCCGTCCCATTATTGGGGGGTGCTCCCTCCAAAAATGATGAGCCACGAAAAGGGGACACCCCCATCTCTCAAAATCAAGCAGCGGTCAACATTAGAACCCATGCTAACTTCCTAGAGTTTCCGGCCGTTGGTTCGTCGGTTTCTTGCCTCACCACACGGGAAAAGGGGAAGGCAAACAAGCCCCAAGGCAGACCTCGCTTGTTATCAGGGAATCACATGGAAACCAGCCATTGGGCGTGTCTTCTTTCAGAAGCATCCCTTTCACCTCGGGAACAAGAGCAGTCAGAAGGAACACCGCGATTTTGAGGGGGCACCCTACTTTGACACACATTTTTTTGATGTCATTCAAGGCGGTCCCTCGAGGACACTGATCTTCCCGGTTGAGCATCCAGCGTGCCAAGGCTGTCCCAAATCCACTGAAGACTAGGTTCTGCTCCAAACACTTCTTCCCACTGACTTTCTTTTTTTCCCCCGTTGGTTTTCAAGGGAATCTATGACTGCATGGAATATGACCATTGATTCTAGGTGACTTGAGCACATGGCGGAATTGCACACTCTCCTAATTGACGGAAGGAGCCCAAGAAGCCATCCTTGGCGGAATCTTTTTGGACCACCTTGGGTTTTAGGATATGTGGAGTATTTTGGGGGCCAAGAAGGGCAAACCCAGAACGCATGGCTGAGAAGCATGTGGGTTTGTCTTAACCCCCCCCCATCTTTCTTAAAGAATAACATAGAATAAGTAAAGATAGAAATAAGTAATAAATAGCAAACTCAGTAAAGGCATAGAATCAAATGGCGGTTTCCCTTTTTGGCCTCCCCTTAGAACCGGCCCAACATCCGTAAAGGACACGGGCCCCATTTTTCAGGACATGGGCCTCACTGCAGAGCTCTACCAAGTCTCAGAGGAGGAGAGGCAAAAGGCGCGCCGCTCGCCGCTCCTGGGATGCCATGTCATGCTGGGTTCCCCAGGCTCCATCCCTAGATTTTTGGGGGCGATGGGTCTGCAGGCATGACTACAGCAAATACATACGTACGTACGTACATACACACAACCCTTCATACCTTATACCTTGACATATTCTTACATTCATGCAACATTCCATGATTCATGAACTCATGCATTCACTCACACAGACATGCATTCCCACATGCGAACACATATGCACGTACAGGCGTTTGCATACTTGTACATTTGCATACATGTACATACACGCTTTCATATCCATTGCGTATACAGAGGGGTGTGCGTGTGTGTCTGTTTCGGCATAGAAGGATATCCTGAGACGCCACATGATGTTTTTTTTTTTTTTTTTTTTTTTTTTTCTTTTTTTTCCGGTACCAATTTTCAGGTTTAAAGGGAAACCAAGAAAAACGGCACATCCTAGGGGTCCAGATCCGATTTTGTGAGACAGACCGTGACGGACCCATATCGCCACCCACATCCCTATAGTTGGCATGTCAAATGGGCAAGGTTTCCGAGCTTGTTGGGATACATCTCCAGGGCTACGCGTTTCGGAGTATATGACTTCAGCCATCAGCTTCAACAAGGGGCCAGACGCTCTCCGAGCGCAGATTGTCCGAGTTTCCGCCTTGGCACGGCTTGTTCGCAGCAACCCGTTGCCACTGAGCGCACGCGGTGCTGAACCAACTGGAGCACAAGTGAGAAGGAACATGACCGGTTCGGCTTTTTGGGTGCGTTTCTTTCACTGAAGCAAAGCGCCAATCCACACCAAGAGGAAGCTAGCATGCTTCCGGGTATCAATGTCATAGCTCTTTAATGTCCACCTCATATAAAGCACCCCTGGCATTCTACACGTCGTTTTGAGATTTGGATGCGTGGTTTCTATTGGGAACCCCTGGCTGATTTTGATCGGGTGTCCCAGGTTCCTGGGGGGTTTGCTCCTGGTTCCTTGGGACACTAGTCGGGGGTTCATGTTGGAACAGGGGGTTTGTAAGAAAGGACAGACCCAAACATCATTTTTCGGATGGGTTCTGCTTGGATGGGTCAAACAAATTCGTCTCGCCAGGCAATCGCAGACCAGTACAGCGAGATGAAGACGAGCTGGTCGCCCAGGGTTTTGACACAAAACGTGGGAGTGTTTCTCCCCCAAAAAATAGAATGGTGCGTGTTGTTTTGAGGCTTTGCTTTTGTTTGGCTGCTTTGAAGGGAAAAGGAAAACCGATCCTTGCCCTAAGTCTCCGAAAGCCGAAGAATCCATGGGTGAAAGCCGGTGCCGGGCGTTTTTGGCAGGGACTCCCACTGGAAGGTGGTCAATGGACTCTGACAGCACCGTCCCGACAGCACCGTCCCGGGAAAGAAACCAAAACAGAAACTTCTCGAAGGGTTCAGATGGAGCCAGTCTGGTGGGGAGCTGGCATTCGTTTGTTTTTAGCATTTAAGAGAAGCCAGAAGGACCTATGATTCATTTCATCTCTCCCTTCCTCACCTACCTTGACTGGCGGTTGAACCCTTCCTTCATACCCACATCATTCTTTCATTTCCTCTTCATTCTGGTTATTCCAGCTCCTGCCGTCACTCCGGATCCAGAATGTAATAAACAAATGCTCGACTTTAGGATCTGAATGAAGGTAGAATGAAGGAGGACAGAGGCGGTTTGTTTCTTTCCTTTGGTTTATCTTCGCCTGGCCGCCTTTTCCCTAGACCACCTCACTCTCAGATAGTTGGCCCTTTCCATACATACCCAGAGTTTCTCGGATTTGATGGGTGCTGTGGTGGCCCTATCGCATTGGACCCTAGGGTGGGTCCGCATTCCTCCATCTCTTGCGATGCTGCTCCAATTCGTTATGCGTTGCACTGCGATGGTGTTTGTTTGTCTACCTCAAAGATGGTAAAAGCGGTAAGGTGTATGCTGACCCGGCATTGGCCCTCCGGAAGGAAGGAAGGCATCGGTCCAGACGGCAAGGAGACGGGCACTCATGCAGTTTTTTTCCAATTGTTTCTGGCCACGTTGTTTATTCTTCTCATCCACCCCATCCCCATCCCACCCCCATCCATCCCATCCCCATCGACCTCATCCCCATCCCCTAGCATCCCATCCCCATCGCCCCATCCCCCACCCCCATCCCCGTCATCCCCGTCATCCCCGTCATCCCCGTCATCCCCGTCATCCCCGTCATCCCCACCCTCCCCTCCCTCCCCTCCCTCCCTCCCTCCTCCCCTCCCCTCCCCTCCCCTCCCTCCCTCCCTCCCCCTCCCCTCCCCTCCCCCTCCCTCCCCTCCCCTCCCCTCCCCTCCCCTCCCTCCCACCCTCCCACTAGCATGGTAAATGGATCTTCCAGGTACACTCCCCCCACCAGTTTGCAGGGGTTCATCTACCCTGCGTGGTCCTCAAATTCGCCCGCCTCGCTCGCCTCGCGCCGCTCGCGCCGCGCGCCTCTGCGAGTCTCTCGCCCTCCCCCGTGGATCTGAGGCACCAAGAACGAGTCCTCCGCCTCCGACGCGGTGGACTTCTGCGAGCGCGCCAAGTTCGTGCCCATGAGGCCGGATGTTCAAGGATGTGCGGAGACCAAACCCGGGCGGAGCGGTGTGTGTTTTGAAGCAGAGGGTGGGTTTCCTGTTATATAATTTGGTGTGTGTTTGAAGCAGAAGGTGGGTTTCCTGTTATATAATTTTCCTTCAAGACCAGCCTACAAAAAAGTGCGGAGACAAAACCCGGGCGGAGCGGTGTGTTTTGAAGCGGAGGGTGGGTTTCCGGTGAATTCCTTGAGAAACCAGCCTAGAAGGAAGTCTCTTTTGCTTGAAGGTCACCTTGAGATGCAAGCGGATTCCTTTTGGTGAGGTGATGCTGAGAAGGAAGCCTGTTGAAGCACCTGAAGGTTTGTAGGGAACGTTTTCAAAAGAAGAGCTTGGTGCCGGAAGAATCGCCGTAGTTCTTTACCATGGATTTTGCGTAGACTGTTTCAATGTTAGGTTTTCTACTCCTGCGTCGCTGGACAATTTAGTGAGGGTCTACATCAAAACACCTTTTTTTTTTTTTTAATCTTCTTCTTCCTTTTTGGTGGACATTGTTTTTTACTGATACATTTGATTCGATGTTTGGTTGACGGCTTTTCCCACGGGAAACAAATTCAACAAATTCATAGCAGCAAAGATCAGACTTGGGTGTTCGGCCAAGTTCCCAATTGGTTGGTAGGCTGGGTTACAACCCACTTTTGAGTCTCCCCATGTGGGGTTAACCTTGTTATTGGGGGTTATAACCTACGTTACCAACAGCTTACTACCTTCGGCTCTTTGGCAGCTTTGATGAAGGGCAGCTCCCCTGTTGACATGTGTGAAGGTGGTGTTCCCGCACCTTTTACAACACCGTACCTGAGCAACAATCCAAATCTGGGTAGATGACAATTCTTTGCACCATGGTGCCGCGGACACTTGTTGGGGTTGTAAAGGGAAACTGAACATGTTGAGGTCACCTTTCCCATGCTGCAAAAGCACCTGGGGTTCAACCCCCGAACCACCAAATAGATGCACATACGGTCGCAGAACCTTTGGACACAAGAATTCGCAGATTCACGTCGGTTCCCCATTCAAATTCACAGTTACCCAAATTGGGGTACCCCACACCCCAATTAAGTCACGGGCAAATCATGCTCGTATTCAGCCCCTTGTATTCCCCTCGTTCCAAGGGGCTTCCCCAAAAGCCAAATGTTGGAGGGAGGGTAACTGGCCAAGGTGGGCGCTGTGAGTTGGTGTCAAAGGCCACCTGCTGTGGACGAAATCCAGCAATCGCACCACTTGGAAACCAGGTAGGGTTTGTTGGTAACAGGCAACTCATCATTCCAGGGCTGCTCAGGTGGTGCGAAATGGATTTCGTCCATCCAGCCCAAACCACCAAACCAAGCCAAGCAAGGCGATCAGGTTTGGTTCGGCCCCGTGGGCTTGAACTGCAGGCTCGTTATGGGACAGATACTACATCAACCATCAAACTAAAGCGGTTAGGGGGTACCCAGATAGCCAAGCTAGGAACGCTTTTGCCAGACATCAATCCACGGAAGGCAATATTGTGGATGGTTGCGAAATCTATTTCGCACCGCTTTAGAACCATGAGAAACCATCGGGTTTGTTGGTATGTAGGTTGGTGAATCGAATCAGACGCTGGTTTCTGAATGGTGATGCGATGTCTGGATTTCGCAACCACAGGTTCTACCTTGTTGCTTCAGGCTTCCAATGGCTGAGTCACACTTCTTGCTTGTTTCTTTTAGTAGGAAAACCCCATGGAAGCTGTCCCATTTTGAGTGCTTTTTGTTTTGACACCTACCCAAATGAAAGCAAGATAAGAAAGAGAAGCTTCGTTCTAAGGGTGTTTGATAGGCACGTAGATGTCAACTTGCGGATCGACTCGAGAGGCTGACCTACGACGAGCGGAAGTACTTGCGGCTGATTGATGCCACCATGCATGTGCGGTCCTCGTTTGCGCTTTCACTTCATATGGGGGATCGTTCTTTCCAAGAATAGAGGACCCCATCCAGGTGGTTGGTTTCCTTTCGTTTCCCTTCAAATCACTCCAAAAGGGGACCGTTATTTTGAGACAATACGCATCACTTCGCGTTTTGGTGGTTTTTGAACTTCACTTTTGGTCGGTGGGTTCTCTTTGGTGAAGTTTTCAGGGGCGATAGAAGGAATCCTGTGTTTAGGGTTGTCTTGAATCTGGTGAGCCCCTCTTTGGCTTTCGAGCCAGGGAGTCTGAAGCCTTCGTTAAAGTCGCCTTTTTGAAGTGAGTCGAAGCGATGCTGATAGAGCCGGGAGAGGCTCAGAATCTTCCCTCCTTTGCATTTTGCTTTGAGGCAACCGCCAAAATGTGAAAGATCACATGAATCTCATGACATCTGTAACATCTGTAACATCTGTAACATCTGTAACATCTGTAACATCTGTAACATCTGTAACATCTGTAACATCTGTAACATCTGTAACATCTGTAACATCTGTAACATCTGTAACATCTGTAACATCAGCATCGACATCAGCATCGACATCAGCAGCGCCAGCCACATCAGCATCAGCAGCAACTGTACAAGAGACAGTGCTCGTCTCCCCTGCTGCCCAGCTGGGACTTGAAACATACGCCAAAGTCACTGGTGTTAGCTTGAGCCTGCGATGCTGTTGAGGCCTTGATGCTGGCGATGCCAGCGATGTCAATGCCATTATTGCTTGTGATTTTTGCAGGATGCTGGCGATGCTGCTAGTGTACTACTGGTTGCTGCTGATTTGTTGCGCGTTGTGGAAGTTGCTAGGGACCAGCCGTGGCAGGATAGACTTGATGAATTTGGTCTTGCGCTGCCTTTTGGCTTGTTGTACTTGATGTTGATGCTTAAAGCTGGTGATGTTGCCAATGCAGAGATGCTGGTCATGCTGGTGATGCGCGTGATGCTGATAATGCCAGTGATGCCGCTGAAGGTGATGCTGATGATGCCATTTGGCGATGCAGATCCGAGCTGACCGAGCTTGCCCCAGGAAAAGAACAGGCCAGGCAGCTTTTGAGCCTTCCGGCAGTGAACAAGTTACTTGGATGTTCACTTTAACAAGTAGTAGCTTAGAACCATGTCACGGGCGGAGAAGGGAATAGGCCTGGGCTACTCCTTTTGCACCAATCATGGAAGTGGACAGGAGGATGCCTGTGGAAAGGACCCTGGTAGTTGGAAAGAATGTCTTTTAGGTCAAGCATTGCAGTTTCAGCGCAGGCTTGGCAAACAGCCAACCAGCATGAGCAAATCGCCTCGAAAATGTGGATAGCCCCTGATTCTGGAACTCTGCTTGGCAGTTGAGAAAACCTGGTCTTAGTGTTTCAGTTTCTGTTCGTTTCTTTCTTCGGATTTCGATAATTTCTTTGCTTGATTTTGTTTGTAGTTCTGAAAAGGGACCTCGGAGTTGTGGGGCAAGGGTCGCCCCTTGTTTCGCCCAACCCTAGAGCTTGGGATTTAGAGTCTGCCTGAGAAATCGGACCCGCGCTTTTCCCTTTTCCCCTTCAAGCCAGACACCCAGCATTTTTGTGTCGTTGCCCAGGCTTTTGTTCAGCCCAATGAAGAATTTCAGCTCCAAATGGTTGGTTCAGGGCGCCATGCCTGCTTTTTGGCTTTGAGAATATCTGATTTTGGGGCAGATATGCGACACACAATTACCGGTGCCGACCTGTGACCTTCTGTACTCAAGACGCGTGGAGCGTTTTTGTCCCCGACCCCCAAGACAACTACTTTGATGGGCTAAAGTGTTAACCGTAGGTGGTCGCTTGTCTTGACTCTTTGTAAGTGTCCACTTGGGCCACCATTTTGGCTCAAGTGGGCACTTCCCTTCTGTCTTGGAATCTGAAATTTCTCATTCCCCTCCTATCAAAGCCATGTACACCCCCGCCTATGCTGGTGCCGCGGTTGCAGAGGCTAAGGCGAAGGCGAAGGCATCCATGGCGAAGTACCTGGCAAGCCTTGTGAAAAAGGAGGAAGAAGGTTGGACCGTCCTGGCGGCTGAGGTCCCTCAGGCACCGGACGAACGGTTCTTCTCCAGCGCCGGTGCCGAAGGCCCTGACACGCCCCCCAGGGGCGTTCCTGGAGCTTCTCGACCCTCCAGAGCCGGATGTTCCCATGGAGGAACTCCTGGCGGAAGACGAGGAGGAGCCCCCGATGGAGGAACCCCTGGCGGAAGATGAGGTGGACCCCCCGATGTCCGACACCAAGTGGCAGGGACGCCAGGACCTGATGGAAAAGGCCAGGGCGCAGGTGTCCTCGGAGGGGGATGAGGACCCCGCAGCCCCCCCGCCAGGGGGAAGCGTCTTCACCAAGGCCCTCAAAGTCTCTGAGGGCCTTTACCAATTCAGTGCGGACCAGATGGCGGGCGACTTCCCGTGTTTTGATGGGACCACGGCCGCCAGGCTCCGACGACTGCAGGCCAAGGATGTCCAGCGGCTCTTGAGAGGCTTTGAGGGCCCCCAACTCAAGCAGGGGGGCCTGGAGCGCGTGGTGGAGGCGTTCTACATCGCCAAGATGAAGTATGAGCATGAGGCCCTGCTCAGCACCCCGGGACAGAAGGTTGGCAAGCGCGCTGGCCTGGGGTATGGGGGCCTGGAGAACCGCCCCCTGGGTAAGGAGCCCACATCCTGGATCTGCCCCTGCTGCACCATGCCCTGGGTGAAGAAGGGCGCCAGGAAGTGTATGGGGTGCGGCAAAAAGACGGAGCCCATCGACACGGCGTCCAACTTGGCCACCCTGGAAATGGCGGGCACGCACTGGCAGCTGACAGTGGATGACCAGGGCAATGCGGTCTGGACGGCGGCCCGGTCCGCAGGTGCCGATGGCCCTGATACGGACCGGGCCCGCGACCTCAAGCTCAGCGCCTCGGTGGATGTCAGCGAGCTGGCCACCGACCCAATGGCATGCGAGAACCTGGACCAGGCCAGCTTCTCGGATTTTGTCCCCTCCTCGGTCCGGGCGGTGATCAGGAACTGCCCCATGGAGCTGGACGAGGATTTCCTGACGGCCCCAATGGGGGAAAGGCCCCCGTTGCCGGGCGACAAGGAAGAGGGCCAGGAGTGCAGGGCCTTCCACCCGTCGGCAGTGAAGGCCTTCAAAATCCAGACCCGGCTCAACGCCACCACCATCGCCCAGGAAGAGGCAAAGAAGGCAGACCAGGTGGCAGCGGTGGAGCGATCCGCGGCGGTCCTCCACGAGCTCCAAGGAGGGGCCATCGATGGAGGAGGCGATGGGGGACAACTCCTCAAGAATTTGGACTTGGACCTTTTCCGCGAGAAACTGCTGGATAAGCTGGGCGCGGACTGGGGGAGGCCCACACCGGAGCTCCTCCAGGCCCAGACCACTGCGGAAGAGGCGAAGGCAAAGCACCAGGCCAGACAAGCGAAGGGCGCCCTCGAGACCAGAATGCTCGAGCCCATCAAGCCTCCATTCAGTGCGTGGCCTAGCGAGGTCCGAGTTGCCATTGAGACAGGGGTCTTTGAGCCGACCACGGCATGGAGGGATTTCAGCATGGACGACCTCACGTCCCTCACGGACTCTTACCTCGAAGCCAAGGCGGTCATCTCGCTGGGTAGGAACCCCTTTCCGGGGGCCCTCCTGGCAGATCTGCCGGATCTGGCGGGGATCCCCATTCCAAAGGCGGGGGGCTCTGGTGCGGCGCGCCCAGGTGCCGAGGGCCCTGACAGGCAGCCCACCATCCCCCCAGCTTCGGGCTCTGGTGCGACGAGCTCAGGTGCCGAGGGCCCTGACAAGCCGTCCGCCACCCCGGGGGGCCTGGACACCCAGGACCCGGAGGTGCAGCTCGCGGTCCTGCGCTGGATGATGAGCAAGCGTGTCGGAGAGGTCCGCATCTTTGCGGGCCGCTGGGTCCGACGACCGGGGCCCGTACACGTCCCGGACTGGGCCAACAACCTACCAAGGTGAATCCGGAGGCGCTGGAAAAGGGTACGCATCCCAGGAACCACCAGGCGGGTGGACTCCCATGGGCCAGGTACTCCGTTGAGGAGCTGAACCAGCAGGCCAAGGCGGGGGACCGACCATACCCCGAGGACCTGCGATCCATCTTCTGGGCGGCCCCCCACGATCCGGAGGAGGACTTCCACTGGGCGCGCCAGATCTCGTCCTGGACACTCCCAGGCTTGCTGGGGATGTTTGGTCACAGCTTCACTCTGCGCCAGCTCTGGGGAGTCTGGGAGTCTCTGCCATTGCTTCAGGGCCCTAGGCAGCGGGGCCCGAAGAACAAGGCCCAGAATCAGATCCGCCTGGAAGGCTGGGAGACCCTGAAGGAAGATGCTCGGTGCTTCCTGAAGGAGGAGGGCCTTCCGCTTCCGCAGACAGGACCGGAGTGGCGCCTGGTCTACCGGGCCATGGGCAAGGTCCTTGCGGCCCGGGCCTTCCTCACGGACACCCCGGCGGAGGTAATGCAGCTCCCGGTCCAGGACGTGGCGGACTCCAAGGAACAGATGATCCTCCGGGCGGTATGTGATGAGCGCATATCGGTCCCGGTGGAGAGTCTCCAGCAGTTCCCAGAGGTGTACCAGGCCCTCATGGACCGCATTGGAGGCCCGGGGGCCCTGGCGGAGGTGAAAGTCAACTGGCGCTGCAACACGAAGCAGTGGTGGGTCGGCGCAGTCCCCGACTCAGTGGCCCCCTCCATCTACCGCAAGCTTGGCTACACCAATGACATGATCAAGCTGATGGGCCTGGACCCCTCCGCCCCCGGGTGCCGGACAGGTGCCGATCCTGACATCCGCCCCAGGGGAGGAGAGGGCGATGAGGGGATCGTCTACCCCCCCATCACATCGGACAACGTCCACGGCGTGGTGGGCAAGGATTACAAGAAGAAGAACTTCCCGGCAGAGACGAAGCACGTCTTCTGGGCGCACATGGAGTGCGGCCTGGTTCTGAGCTCAGTCACCCCATGGGAGCTCATCCCCA